AGGTAAATGACAAAAGCAATTTATAAACTATGACTATCTACAATATTTTAGGCTAGACCATACTGCACCCAATAAATAAGTCATTCATGGCTCTTGAGGAAAACAACAGTCCTAACAAGTATACTGAAATTGTCGTTTCGCGGGTCTCTTATAGATCAACAGAACCTATAGTTTATGCTGGTTTATCATGGCCCACCTACAGGCTACGCGAGAATGGTCTTTCTGATTCTGAATCTGATCAGAGATATGTGGATGTTTTGGGACGTTGTGCAGATACAATGTCAAACAGTCCAGCCTATCTCTCTGAATCTGATAATCCATTAGATATGTCGACAATTACTGTTGATCGTTTCAAAGATATGATATGTGACCAGACAAACACAACCAGAATACGTCCTTTCTTGCTCTCATTCAATGGCTTCACTGAAAATCCTGAGATCAATCAAGAGAAAAAGGAAGTTCTTGATCATTTGCTTGATAAATATGTTGAGCAAAGTGAGCTACTTGATCCGATGACAAAAATAAGCGATAGGTCCAAATTTAAGGGAGAAGGAATTGAATACTTTGAGTTAGTGGCTACTCGAATGGCTGCTAAAGAGGTACTTGTTTCTGAAGTATCCAAAGAGTCGAGTTGTGCTTTTGGTATAATTTCTGCCTTTAAACAAAAGATCAATACAAAAATGCCAATTTTTCGATGTGAATCAGACAAGCAGCTTTCGGGAATATTTAAAGATGATGCATTAAATGTTCACCTTTCTGCAACATTTAAATACCTTCAATCTGATAGCAGCAGAGAAAAGAAAAATATCGCCCCACTGTATGACGCACTACCAGAAGGGATTGCTCTCATCAACGTCTGGAATATTGATATCAATGAAAAGGTGCAGCACTTTTTACAAGCATTAAGAGGTTGCTTATACAATTGTCACATTTGGCTTGTACTAGATGCTGAATACTATAAAAAAATTGATAATCCTCCAGAGCATAGCAATGACCTTACTCGATATCGCTCACGCCTTGAATACTTGCTACGTTCAGGAAAAATATGTGAAGATGCTGATAAAAAGAGAGAGGGCTGCATTACCGTATTTGCTAAATGTAAAGATGAGGAGAAAGAAAGTGTTTAAAAATTGGAGGCAAAAATAAAGCGAAAAGCAAAACACATTGGCATTTCTTCTCTGATGGAGCCATCTGTTCAGCCTATTAATGTCAATGAAGATGGCCATATCACTGATGATTCTTCTTTTCATCTTTATTCAAAGCTTCTTGAAATGGTCTACAATAAATCTTACAAAATTGTTCCTGTCTCTTGGGTTTTCCTTCGTAGCCTGTTCTACCGCTCAGATGAGAAATTTATTTCTAAATCTAATCTCTTAGAGAAAGCAAAGCAATGCAATATGGATGATGAATCACTCGATAATTTTTGCAAGTTTTATACCTCTTTTGGTAACATATTTGATCTCACACTCATTGATCCCAAATACAAGTATGTCATTGTCAAGCCAATCGGCTTTCTAAAGTCTCTCAACACTCTTCTTTCACCAACCGACAAATTACATCAAGAGCATCCTTTGCTAAAATATGGGATTGTCTCAGAGTCAGCACTGCAAAACCTTTTCTGTGAAAGGTGGGATGCATTTATTGAAGCATTAATTCTCCTCAACCTTGCCACAAAGATCGAAAACGACAGCATTGAAGATCTGGATAGCAGCAACAATGATTCCAATTACTTTGTTCCCCTTTGCCATAGATCTGCTGACGATCGCCAGCCATTGTATGTTGATCCTTCATCAGTATATTTAGTAACAACACTCGATACTCCTCATGTTCAAAAGCAAGCACTTTTTGTACAGCAACTTTTACATTCAATCCCAGGCTCAAAGCTTGTCAAACACACTGATAAGATAACAGTTGCTGTGAAGGTTGCTGCTCAAGATCAAAGTTGTGCTGATAACACAATTACCATGATTTCATCAAATCCATTCACTCAATTTAAAATCAGTGACGCAAGTAACAACGAAGCCTGTTTTAAGATAGTTGAAGCTATTCATCATATCATTCATGAAAAAAACAGAGAGGGCGAAGTCAAGTACATGTACATCATTCCATGTGCCACAGAGACAGGCAATCAAATACCTATAAAGTCATTGATGAGTAAAGCTACATGCCATGTTCTATCAGGTGATATGCATTGTGAAAGGCGTCATGAAGCTGGCAAAATCAATCCTAGTTGGCATGAGGCTTTGAAAATGAAACAGGTAAGAAATTTCTTTAAAATAATATTTAATTTAACCTTGCATATTATACTATAATAGTTTTCTATTCCTAAAGAATGCTCAACAGAAAAAGGTAAGTTATCATATGATTTTTCATACTCCTAACTGTATTACTAATCCTCATTTTTAGCCATTAAATCATCAGAGTTAGTATTCATAGCCGAGCAACTGTCTGGCAAAAACTGTGATAAAGAAAAAGTTGCTGAGGTTTTTGAGTTTCATCATAATCCAGATGATCCAGTACTTCAGCCTCAATTTCCGAAAGATGTGCTCTTTACTGATATACTCATCACCTGGTTCAAAAGCTATAGATCTGAAGCTGAGCTAAGATACAACCTTGCTCGGAAAATAATTCAATTACATGAGCATCATCCAAATATTGGCATTGCTTTTTTTCAAGACCTGGCTGCAGAAATTTATGGAGCAATGGTATGTGCCAAAATTTATCATTATATAATTTATGTGACACTTTACTCACTAGCCTAAACAGCTCTGAAGGAGTACAAAAAAAGACATCTATATTATTATTATTATTAATTATTATGAATTATTAATATAATCAAACCATCGGCCCCTCCCTAGCTAGATCAATACCCGCCGCCTACGCTTTGCCATCAAATTTGAATTTTGAAAATGGCAACTCCGAGCCAGAGAGCAACTCCCAGTGCCCTGTAAGCTCTAATACCATATTATATATATATTTTTTTATTCTAAGTCAACCAAGACCGTTCAGTTCACCTATTGAAGCGACAGAACCCCACAGGCATCTCAATGATATCACTGTGGTAACTGCCCCCATTGGTATAGATCTAACTGCGTCTAATTTGTCAGTGGAACCTGAGCCAATAGTGTCACCTTGTGAAGACTCTCTTACCCCGAAAGGTATAGGGCAATAAAATTGAAGATAAAAAATTACTTCCCTTGTAATTTATTCCCTTATCATTAGGGTACGACTTTAACTTGGGCTCCTTAAAAGAAATTATTATAAATCAAAATTTGAAAGCAAAAGTAAAACCAGCACTAATATCATTTCTTGGCATACCGCCTGACAGTGGCCAGAAAGCAGCAGTGAAGCATATTCTTGATCGCTACACTGACAAAATCAAGCCTCCATTTGCATCAACTCCTGGTCGAGTAGGGGAAGATGTGACTACAGCTGAAGGTATCGAGTACCATGAATTGGTAGCAACCGGCTTTAAATCTGTGAGGAATCTTTACATTGGTGAAGTAACAGAAGAGTCAAGCTCTGGTTTTGTTATTCACTCTGCTTTTGGTATTCTCTCTGCTTTTAGACAAGGCCTTATAGAGGAAAAGAAATTACCACTTTTTGATATATCTGTTTCTCAATCCTCACAAGTTTTTGAAAACAAGCAACTAAATGAGCATCTCATCCATACTTATCAGTATCTATCTGATCAAGAGTCAATACCTAAAAAAGGTACGGAGTCTCTTGAAGATGTAGAAAAAGTTAGTGAAAAGGATCAAGAATATGCAAAGAAGCTCAAGCGACATCTTCCAGAAGGGATAGCTCTTGTTATTATGTGGGATGTTGCTCTAAATAAGACCGTCCTTCATTTCCTAACAGCTCTTCGTGGTCACCTTTACAACTGCCATCCCTGGCTGTTCCTTGATCTTCAGCGAGATCTTGACAAGCTTCATTTACCACCTGAAATACCTCCTACTTCATCTACTGGAGATGGGAAGGAGATAAGAGATGGTGCACTTCTCATGAAGTGGAGACCACGTCTTCATTATTTAATTCGTTCTTGCAGATTAGGAGAGACTAAGGAGAAGAAGAGGAGAAGAGTTTGTACTGTCTTTGCTAAGCATGATGGCACCTTTAATGGGGAAATGCAAGAGAAAATGGATGAGCTTGAAAGAAAAGTACAAGCAACAGCAAAACACATTGGCGTGACGTCATTACTTGAAGAGCGAATTGTACCTGTCAACCTTAGTAGTGCAGGTCAAGTGGATGATGATTCTTCATTACATCTTAATCAAAAGCTCCATCAAGTAATCTGTGAGACGTCTTATGAAAACATTCCTATTGCCTGGATATTCCTTCGTAGTTTATTCTATCGTAACAAAAAATGTGTCATTGCAAAAGATGAGCTTGAAGAAATGGCAGAGGAATGTTGTATGGATAAAAGCTCATTTGCAGGATTTTGCAAGTTTTACACATCCTTTGGGAGCATTTTTGATCTGAGCCTGGTTGATGAGAATTGCCAAACTGTTGCTGTTAAGCCAATGGCCTTCCTGCGGTTACTCGATTGCCTTTTGTACCCAAGTGAAGAGCTACGTAAAAAGTATCCCATGATATTGTATGGAATCTATCCAGAGGAAGTTTGCAAGAAAGTGTTTAATGCAGCAGATTGGTCATTATTTATGGATGCACTCATTTCCCTGTCTTTGGCAATCAAGGTTTCAGCTCATCTTATTGAAGCACCAAAAGGTATTTCACTCGATCATGATGCGAGATATTACTTTATTTCGTTGAGTCGTACTGGCCAGTTCAGCGAAGATCCTCATCCTCATTCAATACACATTATCACAAGCATTAACACATCGCACGTTTTTAGACAAGTAACAGTAACCAAACACCTTTTAAAAATGCTGAAAGCTCCTAAGCTGATCCCATCAAAGAATTTCAACCAAACAGTCATCAAAGATACATCTACTGGAACGACAATCACCATCGTGTCTCACAGCCCAGCTACCAGGTTGGATTTAAATGTACCTAACAGTGAAGTATGTGGGTGTATCGTTCATGCATACAATACAATTGCTGATATGTGCAAAACCACTGTCAAATACAAGTTTGTAAGGTTATGTGCTGCTGAAAATGTCTCAACCATTGAATCTATTCCGTCTTCCGTGTATCATGTTCTACCAGATGATGAGCTGTGTGGTAAATGCAAAGAGTCTAGTAGTTATGATAGTGACCTAGTCCAAGCATGGAATAAGGCACTGACTGAGGTAATAGATCTAATTATCAATATAAATGAGATAATAATTATTATTATTCTATTTTTAGTATAAAATAAAAGATATTTCTAAACCAACTGGAGGTGAGATTTTTTGTTTTATTTTATGAACAGAATATGAATATGAATATCATTAAAATACTTAGTTTATATTTCTTTAATTAGATTTAAAAGCTACAGAGCTGGCTGATGTTGCTGAGAGAATTGCATCTATTCTACAAGAACATAAAATGGGCATTCGCATGGTTGCTGAAACATTGCTTGGTGAAAAGTACAAGGAAGTGTTACAAATTGACACAAGACTAAATGGTGACAAACTCCTGGACAAACTTGTAAACGACATAATCCTCCTATGGTATAAGAACCAGTTGAGTATAAAAGGAAGCCAAGAACCAAGACGTGACTTTGCCAAACAGTTATCCAAGCTAGGAGCCAATATTGCTAAGCTGAGCATTGATAAGCAAAAAGAGTTAGTAAAAAGCAAGTTTGAGACTATGGCACAAGAATTGGATGCTTACTATAATCCATTGCTGGGAACCACAGACTTGTAATACTAAAGATTGCAGTAAATACTGGGCTATACTATAGTACATAACAAAATTGTAGGATTATTTTATTACAATTAGCATAAGCACAAAGTTTTTATATAGTATATATTTTATATTTTTCCTTATGTACATGTTTCTTATAATAAATCTCCATTGCCATATTCCTAAGTCTTTCAGCATTGCTTAGTCTGGTTTGTTCCACCAGTTTCCTGCAGTGAGTGTTGGTAAAGGATTAACTACTGATCCATCAGAGAATGAATGAGCCACTAATGGTACTGATGATGATGGAGTGATTGGAGCCGATGATGAGCTTGTCTTTGGCAGCACTGCTGTGGATAAAACCTGTTTCAAGTGTCCATTAGATGAGACTAAGTGTCCATCAGAAACTGGCTCTGATTCAATGTCAAGTGATCTCAAAACTGTAGCATCAACTTTAAGTGAACCTGTTGACTATTCTCCTCTTTCTCTTCTTTGCCTTGAGACAACAGCAGAAACTGCTGATTGGAACCTTGCTTCTCTACAATATCAGACGACGTTGAATTGCATACAGGCAATGATTGGAGTCCCTCCTGTGATGCTTGCCTCTTGCTTTGAATCATTTCTGACTGGCTCTGAGAGTCAATCTTAAAAGGAGAGGTGTTATCACTAACAGATGAAGCACTTGATACAAAACTATGATCACTAGGGCCATCTTTAATACTAGACTGGGGAGGATCGGTTGGTTTAATAATGGCCGAAAGAGGAGCACTGGATAGACTAATACTCCCCTCTTTACTGCTCTTCTTATAAGCAGGTTGTGATAATGAATGGGCCAGTGTAGCATTAGTATTAATATTAGGTATTGGTATTAATCTGGGAAAGGATCCTGAGGAAATGGAGGTAGCAGTGGTAGGAGGAGGATGAATGGTGTGACCTGGTGAAGTGGGTTTTGGTGAGAGGATGTCATTAATTGATGATGATGATGAAGAACTCAATGGTATAGGAGGAATGTTATGCAGTTGTAATTTCATTTGAGGATTAGCTGATGAAGAAGGAAAAGAGGCACATTTAGGTAATTCCTCTTGTTGTTCATCATCATCATCTTTTTCAGTACTCATATTGTCATCGCTGACATGTGGAGTAGCATCTGTAATGTACATGAGTACAAATAATGTTGTGACACACATTATGATGTGATACC